GATTGCATTTCTTCTTATTTTTTTAGGATGTTGCTTCATAGGAGGAAAACACGACAACTTACTACTAATATTATAAACTGAATCATGATTAATTGAAGAACCAACTTCATCAATAGGCGTTCTCCAAAGCGAGTTTTGTAGACAACTAGAATCTGCTTATTGGAATATAGATTTCATCTTATTGGATCTCACATTTTGTTTCAAAATAGATTTGCCTTTTGGACTTAGTGCAGCCAGGGTATTAGTCATTGCTTCCATTAGTTGTTATAGGTTAACCAGTTGTTGCATAAACATACGTTGCCATTTAGCTTGTTGATTATCCATATTTTTATTAAGAAGAACGGAAGAATAGAAGACAACCAAGGGCTCTGATATCAAATTGATGGGATTAAAGGAGTCTTAAAACCAAAGGAGAACACTTAAGAAAAACTAGACACGACTTAATCCAAAAATAAGTGAACAACCATCGATAAAACAAACTTGATGCAAGAAACTAAAAATGTTTAGGAAGGAAGGAAGAAAAAAAAAGAAGCTAAAAGAAATCAAAATTTAAAACTAAAAAAAAATCTCCTTAGAACAACCAACTAATGGTAACCTCATATGTAACAATAAAATAGGAAATTAAAGTGCTTTTAAGAATATGCAAACTAGTGGTCCACCACAACAATCTCGATCCAACACCCGTTGAAATTTCTCAAGCAAATACCAACAAACCAGCCAACAACAACACCTCTTACACCTTTTGTAGAGAAGAAAGATACAGTGGGGTGGAAACTTGTGGAGAGAAGAACTAGGTAGAAGACTTAGAAGAAGAAGTAGGAGAAGCTCTCAAGCTTAGGAAAAAACCCTCAGGTTTTTAGAGACAAATATCAAACTTCAACGACCTCCCAACAGCAACCAACATCTCATTTAAATAGGGGAAATGAGCTCAAAAGACACCCAAAGCAACTGTCCCATTCAGCCAAATAGAGGAAAAGCCCAAGAGAAAAGGCACGACATACCAACAAACCGAGCTGCCAGGCCCCCACAAAAGACCAACCAGAATTGGAACAGCCAGAAGCCAAACAGACACCAAGAAAGGAGCACGGTAGCTCAGGAACCAAGCAGCCAATTGCTCAAAAAATAGCCCCCAATTAGCCACAACTCTCCAAACACCAAACAACCAAAGAAACATGGGTCAAGTCTATTTAGATAAATTTCAGCCCAACAATAATTACCCAAGGAAATATTTTTTTTACCTTCATCAAAAACACTACTGCTCCATACAGCTCATCTAATAGTTCATCGATCACCGGGATGGGGAACTTATCCGGCACAGTCTTCTTATTCAACGCCTGGTAATCCTCATAAAACGTTCAGCTCCCATCCTTCTTCTTGACCAGTAAGATTAGATTAGAGAAAGGATTCACGCTTGGTCTGATGATCCCGACTTCCAACATCTCCTTAATCAGCTTCTCAATCTCATCATTCTGAATTTGGCCGTACACTAATCGGTGACACCCCCTCCTTCAAAATGATTGCATGCTCTTGCTCTCTATGTGGTGGTAAACCTTGAGGTGGCTGGAACATCTCACTAAACTGTTGTATGAGTAGTTGTACTGCTAGAGGAATGTCTCCCTCTTCCCCTACACTAACCCTCTCCAAGCGTTGCAATTCCACCAAATATTCACCTCCCACTTCCTGTATGGTTCTGATCATGGATTTGAGAGATACTCCAGCCTTGAACAATCCTGAATTGCCTTGGATCACCATCCTCCTTCCTCCCACCACCAGTTCCATCCTCAGTGCTCCTCAATTGACCTTGGTCTCCCCCAAGGTCTCAGTCACTTCATCCCCAGGATGATATTACTACTCCCAAACTCTAAGGGAAGAAAGTCTTCCCTCACTTGGATCTCATATATCATCAGCAAGACTCCCCTACAAACTCCTCCGCCCATTTTCGCCTTTTTCATGCTCATCATCACCCCATAGCTTTCTGTATCCACTAATTTCACCCATAACAGATCAACAATCTGGGTGGAGATGAAATTATGGGTTGTCACATTATCTATCAACACTACCACTTCTCTATCAGCTATCTCTCACTTCACTTTCATAGTGTGATTCGAAGTGAATCCCATCATTGAGTTTAGGGATACTTCTGTCACATCCATATGCAACTTCTCCTCTTCATCCATCTCTAACCTACTCTCATCTCCCTCTTCAGCTTTCTCGTCATCACAGAAAGTGAGAACCTGAAGAGTTCGATCATTACAACTATACTCTGACATGTACTTCTCATCACATCAAAAATACAACCCCTTTGCCCTCTTCTCATGTATCTTCTTTTTAATCAGCCTTTTGAATTTCCTCAATTTCCCCCTCTAGCTCTCTCCTTGGACACTTCCTTCAGACTACCTGGCGCTGGTCCCTTGGGAGCTAAGAAGGTGGTGGTCATCCTGTACGATCCCCCGAGTTGCTCCCCCTAGCCCCTTTCTCTAGCTGCATTTGATCCTCCACCAACTGTGCTAGCTCCATGGCCTCCCCCAGGTCTGTTGGCCTTATCACCCTAACTGCTACCCATATATTTGGTTTAAGCCCCTTCATAAAGTTTCCCTCTAGCACTGTCTCAGAGAGTCGATCTAATCTGCTGGCCAAGTACTCAAACATGTCACGATAATCTACCACGATCCCCTCCTGTGTCAAGACAAAGAATTGCTCATAGAAATCTCCCCCCCTACCGGTTCAGAAACGTTATAGTAAGCACTCTTTGAACTCCTTCCAGCTCCGGATGGGTTGCCTCATGTCACGCCATTGGTACCATAATAGTGCCTTCCCCTCCAAACACAATCTTGCTGCCGTCAGCTTCTCTTCCTCTGTCAACCCATTGACAGTGAAATATCATTCCACCTTGTAGATCCAGCCATAACCATCCTCGCCCTCAAAGATGAGCATCGTTAGCTTCCTCACCTTCGGGTCACCCCCGTTGCCCTTGAATCCTCCATAACCTCCCTGATAGGAAATACTTGATTCCAAGTATTTCCTAATCACTTTAGCCAAAGATCTCACAGCAAAACTGCTGTCCACAGCAGGAAATCAGCCAAACAGTGGGAAAAACACGAGAAAAAGGATAGAAACACGAAGTAAGAACTTGTATTTTACTAGAAGATGAAAGGAAAATAGCAAAGATACAAGGATCCTCTATTCGAGAGGAGGATCGCACTCTCCCAAGTCTCTAGAATACGATCTAGAGCCCAAATCAACAAGAAGAACAAGAGAAAACTTCAAAACAATCACATAACCCTCATCCCCCCCTTTACTCTCTACTTAATGCATACAATTCAAAATTGATACCAAAGGACTTAATTACCCTCACTTCCCCTCCTTTTGGCTCCAAGAACAATTTGAAATTTAATGGACCCCACCGATTTTTCTCCCTGCCGTTTCCGCCGCTCGTGTTCGTCTTCGGTAAACGAAAGCCGGCCCGCTGGCTTGGGCCGGCTGGACCGGTCCTCTCTGGACCGGTCTAACACTCCCATTTCAAGAAGAGGAGGTGCTCCCCAACTTTCACGATCTTCCCTCCGACGATCATACCCAACCCTTCATCAAATTCTCTTCTTCTTTGAAATTCAGCACATCTGCGATAGAAATCCTCCATTCTCCCCACAAAATCAGCGGTTCTTTTGAAACTAGTGCTCATCTCCTCCCTAAAAAGTGGTTATAGAGGAGGCATTCCGTCTTCACCTTCCAAGATCTCCACTTCCAAATTTTACCTTCCCCTAAACAAGTTAGGGCTTCCACGTCTTCCATGGCCGCCGATGGTTTCCCTTGTTTCCAATGTTGCCGGTTTGGTCTTCACTTCTAGCAATTTTTTCAACATCTCTTACATCACGGCGAACTTCCCTTCTGTCCTTTTATTATTGGATGATATCTGATTTTAAAAATCAGAAATTTTTCCTCCAAATCTGATTTAAGTTGCCCAATTTCTCCTTCCAAAATTTTAACTTTTTCCTAGCCATATTTCTTCCCAAGAATCACGAGATCTTCTTTCGGATGAAATTTCAGAATTTCAACAACCGATGGCCCCAAGACAAAGCTCTGATACCAATTTGATAGGAAATACTTGAGTTTGCAAGTAACCCTAAGGGGAAATACTTGAGTTTGCAAGCAAACCTAACTATAATTGGTGAGAGAGAAATCAACAGTACGATGCAGAAATTTTAGAAAATTGGAAATCAAACACAAGTGAACTAATTAAAACAAAGATGATAAATACAAAATCCCTAAACAGCTCCTAATTTAAATTTTCCCTCCCAAAGTAGCATTTAATTAAGTTGTGGCCCCCATCTCTCCAACCGGCCTCTCTCTCTCTTCCCATTGGTTCCTCCCCTGCCTCCTGTAGCAAAGAATCGGTCCAGGTTGGACTATTTTAGCTAGCCCTAGGGCCGGCCTAACAATAACATGGGTAGAAATTTTTCAAAAAGATTTATGAAAAACAAATTTAACACCTCATGCAATACTCAGCATTAATGATTACAAAATAAGGATTCATTAAGAGGATCACATCTAGTTGGAGTAGAGTTAATGATGATGGGAAAGGCTTAGTTATTATGGTGGGTCTTTCTCTCTTCCCTCTGCCCCCAATGATCTTGAAAATCGAGTGTTAATTGTATTTTTGGGCTGCATCAAGTTGTTTATGTTATTGAACAGACTTAACATGTAATTATGTAACTATCACTTTGGGCTATCTGCCTTCAATCGGAGGAGGGTTTAACAGCACAAGTGTAATCAGACTCCAATCGGTTGCAGTGGAACGTCAGAATTTTTTTTCTTGCAAATATCTTGATAAACCGACTGAATGGAATTGTACAAATTACCATATTGTTTGTTTTTTATTCATGTAAAAAGTTCATATTCTCTAATGTTAATGAAAGCAATGATTTAAAAGGTTTTACTTTTGAAAGTATGGGGAGTAAAGAGTGTTTTCTGCGCTATTCTGTTTTTGATTGATTGCTTTGTAGGTGGTTTGGCGTACAGCTAAATCCTCATTTCATGGGTATCGATCTCAAGTATGTGAGGCATTGTCTGCTTATTTATTTTATCTTGTCTTTTTTTACCAATGTCTGATGAAGACTGTAAAGGAAATGCTACATTTATTTCCAAAATTTATATCAAAAGGCCAGTATAATTTAACATCAGCATCATTGGCCTTATTCCCCAACTATTGGTGCTGGCTTTATTAATCCAGCTAGTAAATTTTAACAGATGAAAAAGTAATCTGCTGAAATCTCATGATATTTTCTTTGAGAGTTGATTATCTTTCATTTTTATTAAGACGAAATGTGGCATGGCTCAAGTTTGTTTGGCAAGAAGGGTGAGGCAAGATACTTTCCTTTTTCAATCAAGGCACTAATTTCTAAACTATCGCAAAGAAACGTTCTGTAAATTTTTGAAATAACTTATGAATATCAACGTCATTTTCGTAAAAAAATACAACTTATATAACACAAACATTTATAGAAGGCATAATAAGCAAGAGCCAGCATTCACAATACTACTATTGTGAAGTATTGTTATATGTAAGAGCAAAAACAGAAACTATAATTTTTAAATGTTTTTTTTTTTAATTAAAAAGTTAAGGAAAGAATCATATCAGAATTCATTGAGTTTTCACAAATTCAAATGAATATGATAAATAGCATTTTAGCAATAATATTTCATAACAACATAAAATTATTAGTCATAATGCACACAGAAAATTCGAGGGTTGACAGAAGAACCTGTATGGGAACTTAAAATTAGAAAAAACAAGGAGACCAAGAAGAGTTGAAGAGCAGAGTTCTACCACTCTCCCTGGCTGAATGAGAAGCTGATAGAGATCCGTTTAATTAAATCATGAATTTTTTAGAAAAGACATACTGATGAAACTAAATAAGAAGATTGAGAGTAATGTAGTAAAACCAGGATCTTTTAACATTATTTTGCACAAATATGTCAAACAAGTAGATATTTAAAAATGAAAAATTAATTTAGCAAATCTTAGAAGATCACAAAGTTGCTTGCTTCATAGATCCCTTGATCTTAGGTGTGGTATTAAGGCACTCACCTATTTAGATGGATTATCTGGAAATCCTAAATCCCTAACGTTGTGTGATTGTCAAAGGTGTTCACACGTTAGTATCTTAAGATCTTAATACCTTGTGAACAGAATGATGAAAATCTGAAGATGTATCTTTGTTATAAGCACATAAAGTAAATTTTAAATTTCATTTTCTTAAAGTTTACATTATATTTCTTTTTAGTTTATTTTAGAACATGCTTATGATGTTGATCGTATTGAGAATGAGCCCTATTCTAATAGTTGAACTTCCTCTTTAAGTTTGGCTAACTATTGAAGGGGATTAATTCAAATAACATCATAATAATAGCCCTGGCTCCAGCTTTTAGAGCATCCAACTCTTAAACATTTCATGATTTCTAATCCTATAATTTTCTCCCGCTCAGTGCTGCTAATGCTATAGTCCAATAATCCTTTGCTATGAAATGCTATTGCCACTTATTGCACTGGAGTTCTTGGATTTATTGGAAAATCTATTATTGGCTACAATCACAAGATGTTGGTATCAACAGCTTCCTTTAGTGATTTCCATGATTTCTACTACAATTACGGACTGTGTATACCACTAATTTCTATAGTTGATGCTTGTGCGGCTCTTAATTTTCCTTTTACAAATGAATTCGTTTGAAAATTATGGAGCTAAATAATTATTCTATGTTTATGTGTTAGGTCTGAAACTCGCATTTCTTACTAGAATATGAGGAATTTATTATTTTAGCTCCTTCGTGGGCTGTGAATTGGACCTCTTGGCCATGTTAAAATTATTAAATATTTGAGTATTGAAGTAAAAGTTTTAGTTTTTCTCAATTCTTGTGTGTGTGCCAATTGAATGTGTAATCTTTAAGCAATTTGATGGTGTTCAGATTATTTTGGGGGACAAGTCTCCTTGTACTAAAATAGGGCTTGTTTATTTCTTTTAGTGATTTTTATCATATTCCTTACTTATAATTTGTGCAGTGGCTAGTTTGTATGCGTGATTGAAGATTTTTCAAGTACGATAATGTTAGACCTGTCCATTGAACCGGTCCAGCCTGTGCGAAGTAGGCGGAACTCTCCGCCATTTTGTACGCGCGATCCGTCTGTCGGATCTGACAGCGTTGTTTAGGAAGATTTCTGAAGGGAGTTAGGAGGGAAATTTGAATGTAGGGATTGTTTAGATATTTCCTTTTGGATTGTATGCATTAAATAGTTTGTTTTCCTAGGGTTAGGACATCTTGAATTTGGCTGAAATTTGAGATCTCTTAGGTTTTTAGGCTCTAGCGGCGTCTAGAAATTCGGGAGAGATAGATCCTCCTCTCGAATAGAGGATCAATTATATCTTGCTATTTTTCTTTCGTTAGTTGGATTATTGCAATAAAATCTACTGTTTTCTTATTTTTACATTGGTTTTGTGAATCGTTCTCGCAGTTTGTCTTTATTGTTAGGGTTTACTTGAGATATTTAACTGTTTCCTAACAAATTGATATCATAGAAGATTTTGGGATTGTTTGGGGGATTTTTCAGAGAAAATCAGCGGTTGATTGTTAACATGAAGGGGGCTATTTTTTGGTATCAAGATTCAATTTTTTAGTCCAACAAAAATTTGGGTATCGATAGCGGCCAACAAAGTGTTACGTTGGAGGAACACCTTGAAGGGGAGATTGGACAGATGAAATATGAAATTTCAGATCTATAAACTTAAGTTACAGATTTAAAGAAATAAATTTTACTCATCTATGATAAGATCGATTCAAATTTTTTCATATTGGGAGAGATGTTAAAGATAGTGCTCAAGGGTTAAAACAAAACAAAAAACAAGAAAAATGTCGTCAGAGGTTAAGTCACTGACAGCCGGGGAAGTGAAGAAAACCCTAAGCCAATCAAACAAAGGGAGAATCCGAAGGTGGAGATTTTAGGAGGAGAAAAAGGCCTCCCCTAGGGCCTATTCCCAAGGATGAGTCCGGTAGAGAGTATGTGAAGAGGCATGAGGGGGTTGGGCATAAGTGGACTGATGTTGAATTTGAAAGAAGAGGTGTCGAATTTGAAAGAAGAGAGTTTGACAATGATCGAATGGGTGCTGAATTTGAAGGGAGATGGTGGACTTGTGATAGGTTTGGGTGCGAGCAGAGGAAGGATGATTGGCACAATTAGGGGGAACCACCCCCTTCGGGAATGGGAAATTTCGGAGGAAGCAAGGTTAACAGAGATCTAAGAGTGAGGAAACTGAATATTCCTATTTTTGAGGGAGAGGATACACATGGGTGGATCTAAAGGGTGAAAAGGTACTTTATTGTCAATAAGTTGACGAATGAGGAGATCCGGGCGGCAATCCGAGTGATGAGGCCTCGTGACTTGGGAGAGGCTATGGAGCTAGCTCAGTTGGTGGCGGATTAAAGACACCTGGAGAGAGAAACGGGAGGCAGCAACTCAGCAGGCTCGTACAAGATGACTATCACCTTATTGGTATCCAAGGAGCCAACATTGGATACTCTTCGGTGGACTCCAAAGGAAAAGATTGTATGAGGAAAACCTGTGGAAAACTTCAAGAAGTTCACAAAAATGAAATTATAGGAGAACAGGGTAAAGGGGCTCTATTTCAGATGTAACGAGAAGTATACTCCGGGGCACAGGTGTAAGGACCAAACTCTTCAAGTTCTCACCATTTGTGATGAAGAGGGAATGGAGGAGGGTGTCATCTTTTCACCTTGCGGACAAGGTGAGTCTTTGGGAGGGGAGTATTGTTAGATCCGTCCATTGTATCAGTATTGGCCCGTGCGAAGCAGACAGAACTCTCCGCCATCCTGTATGCACGATCCAACCGCCGTATCTGACAGAGCTGTTTAGGAAGGTTTTTGAAGGGAGTTAGGAGAGAAATTTGAATGTAGGGATTGTTTAGAGATTTCCTTTTGGATTCTATGCATTAAATAGTTTGTTTTTCTAGAGTTAGAGCATCTTGCATTTGGCTGAAATTTGAGATCACTTAGGTTTTTGGGCTCTACCGGCGTCTAGAGATTTGAGAGAGATAGATACTCTCGAATAGAGGATGAATTGTATCTTGTTATATTTTATTTTTTTAGTTAGATTATTGCAATAAAATCCACTGTTTTTTGGTTTTTCCATTGGTATTATTGATCGTTCACGCTGTTTTTGTCTCTATTATTAGGGTTTACTTGAGATATTCAAGTGTTTTCCAACAGATAATTGTTGAATTCCTTTTCGTAGCATAAATCTTGATAATTGCTAAACTTTTATGTTCGTTCACTATTTTTTTATAGAATTTCAGATTTTTATGATTATTAAATTATTGTTTGGAATGAATGAAGCATGCCTATTGTTTTCACATGGAAAGTGACTAATTTTGGCTAAAGTTAATAATTAGTAACTTGCAAATTGTGGCTTTTTATGTGTTTTAATTGTGTGTATCATCCTAGGTTGTATTGTTAAACCCTACTCCCTTGGTCTTACATTAAATTTGTATGATAGCTCAGGTTTTGTTAATATGCCAATCAAAAGTGAGATTACTTTTTAATTGGATTTAGATTTCAAATAACTGTAAAATTTTTTAGCTCCTAAAATATTTTATTTGTTCTCGATAGGGTTTAAAAAATGACCCAATCTGATCTTAAAATAAAAAAGTATGGTTCGGTTTGACCGATTGAGCTTCAGGTTAGGTTCGGGTTTGAAATATTGGCCTGATAAATTTTTCGGCCAAGTCCAAGTTGACCTAAAAGCTCAAAATTTCTTGATTACCATTCATGTCTAGGTTAAATGGGTTGTGTTTATGTTAAACATGTCATTTTATGGTTAAATGAGTTGTATGTTGTTTAAATGAGTAGTGTTTATCTAAAAAAATTCAATATCTATATAATAAACAGGTTAGATTCGAGTTGAATATTTTGACCCGTGTGATTAGCGGGTTGGTTTTGAGTCAATCATTTTGAGGCTTGATCCAAACTTGACCTACTGATTTGAATTAACACTCCCAGTGTTCTGAGAATTTCTCCAACCAAAATAATTATAAACTTAAATGACTACATTTATAAAGGTTGTAACACTATGCCAACAAAGTATCAAAGGAAAGTTAGTAGTTGATGCTTTAGCATCCAAAATTTCTTTTAAGGCTTATTTTAGATGTTACCAAATGGATTACTTCATAAGTGTCATAGTAGATACTTATACTTTAATGTTGAATGTTGAAAATGAAGACAACCAGGATGATGAAGGAGAAGATATGCATGAACTCGATAATAAAATAGGTGAACTCGATAATAAAATAGGTGATTAGGAGAATGCTTTAGGTAAAAACTCTTTCAATGTCATGCAATATGTTATTGTCACGCCTATGTTGATCCTTACATCAAAATACATGCGAAAAAGGGAAAATTTGGTGAATTAAGTGACATGTGTGTCGGCAAGGCGCGTCACTTGAAGAGCTAAACGACCTCTGGTTGTCAAAAGGACCGCGCTGTTGTAATAGGGACGTTGAATTTGCCTAAGAGGGAACCCCTCGCAATCAAATCGGATAAGATCAATCAAAACAGATGATCGACACCCGAAATTGATGTGTGACATTCTCCAAACGACATCCAATCACAAAACAAACTTCGTCGTTATACTTCGAGCGTCGTACCAAAAAATGACCATAAATTCGTTCAATTGATTATGCGAGGAGATCAGTGTGGATCCCAAGGCAACGGTGCGTAAAATTGAGAAAATTGACGCGCAACATTGCCCAAACCACATCCAATCACAAAACAGACTCTGCCATTGCATTCAGAATATCGACAATACCTAAAGTGAAATGTAATTTTGTCATATTAAAATCATGTATTTCAGCGCATATATTTAGAAAATGCATGCAAATCAAAGGGTCAACGCGCAAATTTAGAGACTTGCAAATGGTCAATTCCGTTTAGGCTAAGCTACGCAAGAGACTAAACAAAATCAAAGCACATAGGAAAATTAAAACATTGCATGTGGAGTAGTTTCCAACTTAACTAGGACATAACAATGAGATCTAAGAGCAAAGAAGTAACAAACCTACGATTACTAGTGGATGGCGATTAGTAGACACAATCTCTTGCTTGAACAAACTCTCAACAAAGTAAGTAAAATTTGAAAGTAAGTGATCAAGGAAGATCACCTTCTCGGAGAGACGTCGTGATTCGCCACGTACCTTTCATTAGTCCTCTTCAACAATTACTATGGGAGGAAGAAATTTCTAGGGATCCGTCAATGACTGGAATCGCGCCGACGACGAAAATTGGAGAAGAGCCACGACGCCTTGGCCATAGGATGCAAAATCGGAATCAAATGCCGAATCGACCATGCATCAATATCATGTAAAGAGAGAATGAACTAGAGAGGGAGGGAGATAGATGACGGTGGGAGGGAGGAAGAGGCTAGGGTTAGGGGAGAACTAGATGGGATGAAGAAAAAATGTTATAATCTCCATACCAAAACTATTCTCACATTTTTAGTAGAAGTGGAGGGAAAAATCTGAAATTTGAATTTTAAATACACGTAATTAGGGGCCTTAATGTAGCATTAAAGGAGGGGGACCACCAAGGGGGGCCGGCGGCATAGTGAAGGGGGAGGGGTTTTGGGGAGAGTGTAATGGGTTTCCTAATTCGCTCCGACAAATTAATAAAGAAAAATTTCAAATCCGTTTCAATTCAAATTTGAAATTGAAACCTCATTCCAACTTTCCTAATTTGGCACCATGCAAATTTGGAAACTTTCACTCATCAAAATTTTCAATTTTCAAATTTGAAAATACATGAGGTGGCGGTAAAGGAGCCGGAGATTAACGGGGAAGTGGGGTGGTGGTGGAAGGGGAGGCCGAGATTAGGGAGATGGCTGGCGGTTAAAGGGGCGGCTGGCGGGATGATTGGGAGGGGACGGTTTTGGGGAGGTTGAGCTTGGGTGGGTGAGATTAGGAGGTGGCGGTTAGTGGTGGGGAATGACCGGTGATGGGCGTTGGGTAGATGGGAAAGAAGGGAAGATAAACCAAGAGCCACCGGTGGTGACTGTTGGGTACTACGGGTGGCCTCTCATAGGCTCCACCAATCTTTCAAACTCTCTCTCAAGCTCTCACACAAAAGCTTCAAGAAGATCAAATGCATGAACAATTTTCAATATTATTCATTAGCTTCAAAAGTACAAGATGAAGGCTTTAAATAGCCCATTACAATGACTTAAAGCAAAACAACTCAAATTCCCTCAATGGGCTACATGACTCAATCCCTCAAGCAAGGGTAAAAAGGAAAAAATGCTGAAATAAATTACATCCATAAGAAAATAAAATACACCAATAAGAAAATAACAATACTAGAATCAAAAGTACATCGGATAAATCGTGGCCGTAGATCTACGGCCACGTCGACGGTAGACTTTCCAACTGATGTCCCCATCTCCTTTTTGTCATGAACTTATATTGTCGTTGATTGAACTACAATCCTAAAGTTCTTTAGAAAAGCGGTTGTTGTTGTGGTCCCAAAATCTTGGTATTAGTTGATTTCTTATATGATGTCCTCCGTTATACTACAGTCCTTTTATTGCTTGTTGCTAATTGCTACATCCGGTGCATGTGCTGCCCTTTGGTATTCCAAAATCTTGAAACTAAAAGTTGATTTCTATCATGCATGTGTGGGAGACTTGGGCTATATGATAGAAATCAACTTTTAGTTTTTATGGATTTTAACCATATCTAGTAGGATTCTAGTATATTTCTTTTTTGGGCTATATGTAGGGCTTTTGCAATATTTAAAAATTTACTAACATAAAGCATTGAAATAAATTTTCAATTATCCTCAATTTTATGTATGTTAGTTGGATGTGTATTGTTTGAGTTCTTCATAGTTGTTGACAACTACTTTTAGTGGCGAGTCTCATTGCATTGACGTGAGAATTGGATCTTTCCTTTGGGTGATTATTATTATTATTTTTACTTTTAATTTATTTAGTAGCTTATGTGCGATTGAAATTTTATCAAATGTGATATACTTTTATTTCTTTTCATTGTGCGAGTCTTGATCATTGCTGAAATTTATGTTCATTATTTTTCTTATAGAATTTCAGATCGACAATTATTAAATTATTTATTTGAATGTATAACACATGTTTGTTGGTTTATGTTGAAAATTTTAATTTTTTGCCAAATTTAAGACTTAGTAAATTGTAGATTCTTTTTTTTTTTTCATTGTCTCATTTAGATTGCATTAGTAAACTCTAGCATCTTAACCATCCTATATCATAAAATTAATGAACTCCTTGATATTCCTAATATAAATTGAGTAATATTACCCGTAGTGGTATTGTCTTTTATTTCCCAGAAGGAAGGCCTTAGATTCAACAACTCCTACACAATAAATAAAATAAAATAAAAATAAAAGATTTAGTGAGGCTTGTCTTGGTGCAATAGCACAGCTCTAGCGCTCATCAAAGCCTCATGCACTTGATTTTCCATTCTCTATATTAAATGTGTTTTTTTTTTTCTCCGTATTATAGCAACAACTTACAAGCATTTATTAAATTATCTTGAGCTTTTGGTGGCTTAACTAAGCTTGTTTTGTGAAGAGAAATGAAAAAAAAAAAAATCTAATAGGCTTTAGCGTCGGAGAAATTGAATACGAAAGAAAATCGATTATAAGTCTGTCGCCATCTTTGAAGCACCCTTCCATAAATCTACATATGTACCATCTTTATATATGGTTTAATGTAAAAATCTACGATAAAGCCATTGGCGATTTCTTAAGGTGAAGGGATAGACATTCAACTTGCGCCATCTTTGAAACATCCTTCTCATCAGTAATTGTTGATTTCTACTGCTGGCAAGCCTTGCAGTATCCCTGAGAGAGCATTAGCACCCCTCCACTACGGCTCCTAGTAATGTATGTATTCTATGACCATCTTGGAGAAATGTTCGCATACCTCAAATTGAATACGAAAGAAAATCTATTATAAGTCTGTCGCCATCTTTGAAGCACCCTTCCATAAATCTACATATGTACCATCTTTATATATGGTTTAATGTAAAAATCTACGATAAAGCCATTGGCGATTTCTTAAGGTGAAGGGATAGACATTCAACTTGCTGCCATCTTTGAAACATCCTTCTCACCAGTAATTGTTGATTTCTACTGCTGGCAAGCCTTGCAGTATCCCTGAGAGAGCATTAGCACCCCTCCACTACAGCTCCTAGTAATGTATGTATTCTATGACCATCTTGGAGAAATGTTCGCAGACCTCTTCTTTTCTTTCTTTCTTTAGTTTTTGTTCAAGACAAATGAAATCTTTTGGTGTTCTTTTACTCTTAAGTACCACAATGGCCTGTTAGGTTTTTACCAACAATGGTGTGCGCCACTTCAGTAATAATTTTCCAAAGCACTTATGAATTTTAAATCCTTCAGCTGGGCAATATTTTGGTATACCTCCAGCATGATCTATTTGAGTGATTACAAAATTGTTCAAGACAGAAAGGAAGGAATACGCTAACTCCTTATACTTTGGCTGTCGGTTTTCACTCTAAATTTGACTCTTGAAGGCATATTGTTTGGCTGGTGAAGGCTTCATTGAGAACCCCGGGTTCGACTCCAAAAATAATAATAAATAAATAAATAAATAAAGAGGAAGGATTACACACTTCTTATACTTAAATTTGAATTTTCTTTATAAATTTGATCCTTGAAGGCTTACCGTTCGGATACTAAAGGCCTTCTTGAGTTACTTCTTAAACAGCTTGCAAAATGTGTACAGCTTTACTAAATCTCTATAACCGATCTTTTTTTCTTTGCCTACACAGTGACGTATTAAGTAGTCTTTATTTAAATATCAGAATTTATGTTTGAGTCATTGTATTGTGAATTAAAGTTACATTTCTGCAAGAATATCTGCAATTCATAAATATTTTTACTTTGTAATCCTACATAGATTCTTTTTTGTCCGCGCGGGTATGATGGGATGGCTTTTCATCAATCTCTCTCTCTTCTCCAAAAGTCTTCAAGCTGGCAATGCAAATATCTCCGTTATTCTTTACCAGCTATTTTGTGTGGTAATGTGTAGTTTTCTTTTTAGTTTTTGAGATTTAGTCCATTGTTACTAATTTTAAACTTAATTCTTCTTTCTGTTCAGTTGTACATTATAGACTATTTCTTCTACGAAGAGTTCATGACTTCCACGTAAGTACTTATAATCTTTTCATTGTGGCAATTTGGCCGGAGATTCCCGCATTTTTAGCCAGCTTTCAAAAATAGTACGTGTTAGTCTTGATCATGCTTACAGACAGACTTTTTATCCTTCCTCCATATGGCATTGTTGTGAATTTCAAATATCAATGTACATCTTAGCATTAAAAACATGGGAATGTGGACCCTATGTGTGTTTAGAAGGTATGGAGATGTGGACCCTAATGTGGAGCCAAATGTATGAAGAACAGAAAACTGACACAATCACATTGTGCAGTCACGCCATGCATCAATTATTAGAACAAAGTTATAACAACCAGATTCACTTTAAATCTCATTTAGAATGATTCAATAATTTCATTAGAAACAACAAACTTAGACAATATTAAGCTTCAGTATTATCATGCTTTAAGGTTTTATGATTATGTAGTTTGGTAATACTTTAAGGTTAACTCTAGATGATTCATTTTTAGTAAGGAAACAAGCAATTCTCCATATTCTCATAGTTTGTTTTTAGCTTTACCTTACGCTACTGATTCACTTAGTTGATTTCCAAAAGATTTAGTTTATTGATGATGGTGATTGATTTTGTAGGTGGGATGTGATTGCAGAGAGTTTGGGCTTCATGTTAGTCTTCGGAGATCTAGTATTCATTCCTTTCACTTTTAGTATTCAGGCATGTCTTACAGAAATCAATTTTCTAATTCACAATTTTTTTGCAAGTGGTTGTAAGTTATTTAACATCTCATATTTTAGTCTGTTTACCCATGTATTTCTGAAGTATGAAAATTTTTTAACCATTTGTACGAACATTATGGTAAGTTCGATGTTTGCTTCCATATTTTTTATTTGTTTTTATTCCAAACCCTTAGCTCTGTGGGATAGCTTAAATGCCCTAAATTTCATCTCTAAATTGGCATTAATGAAAAAGTAGTCAATAGAACTTAGGTTTATGTGGGGAAAATGAGACGATCAATAAGTTTAAGAAATCGTAAGTATCATGATGAGACTTTTAAACCAAAAGCCTCAACTATTTTTTATGGTCCTTCCATCTCAAAAGCTTCACCTACATCAGTATCCCTACTAGTCCCATCAGCCCCACATATCCAATCTCATTGAGGATGTTGATCAGTCACTCAGTCATTCAAACTAGTGCCAGAGGTAATTTTATGATTTTGTCTGAGGATGTTGTTGAGCATGGGAAAAACACACACGTTGATGCCATTTTGCTACATTCTAAGATGTAAGTATAGGATGTTGCTTAGACTAAGTATATTGTGCCTTCAGTCATTGTTGTTCACTAGAATCTTTTAGTGAAGATTAAGGATGTTCCACAATCCACCATATTGTTGTGCATTCCATCAATTGTTACATAGATTTACTTTATCTTATCATTGTCATATCATCATGTGTCCCTCCTGCCTATATTTCTTATTAGATATGGTGTGGCATGATTAATTTGATGTAGGTTGGTTAAATTAGTTTACAATCTACTTGTAATAACTTGAACTAAGGCAGACGAAGAAGCTTGATGTCGATTCGATTACCTGATATCGCAAGAGTCGAAGCATTTTAACAATTTGAGGAAGAAAGGAGTCATCTTTTTGTTTACGTGAGAAAGACGATGCACGCTCCTATCGGTTGGAGTCGCAGAGGCAGAATGAAAGGAGGCAAGGAAGCCGAAGGGTTAGGGCTGCTCGGCTTCATCTATATAAATTAGAGAAGAGAGGGAGGAGTGAGACCGAGAGAGCAGCAATCGGGTGCGAAAGAGTAGAGTGGGCGTTCATGCGGGCGAATTGCTTGGGCAAGCGAGGTAAGGGATTTTTTTAAGTATTTGTTAAAATTGAAATTATAAATTAAGAGAATTAATTTAGAAAAATACTTGTAAAAAATGGTGTCGGCTAATTGGAAATTAGAATAATTAGATATTAGATTAATTATTTAAAATATTTAATGATATAGACAAATATTTATATAACTACAAATTCATATAAATTTAGATGTATCAATATTAGATGATAAGAGTGAAATATATATATATATATATATATATATATATTAGAAAATAGTATTAATTAAACTATGTTTTTTATCCATTTTAAATGATAGAGGGGAGAATTAAATTTATTATCTATTAAATTCTTTTAAGAATAGATTAAATAAGATCTATTTAAGCATATTCAATAAGCGACTTAAAGAAAGATATTTATATTTATAATATAATACATTTAAATTTGGAGGAAATCTAAAACATTAAAATTAAAGAATAATTGAGTTAGAGAAATTAATAGTAATTTATGAGAATTAAATAAGATATAAATTTTTATTTGAAAATGGTATTTAAGAAAATTAATTATAAGGAGTAGTAAAGAAAATATAGTTAAATAAATATATAGAGAAAGAATGGACATTTCAAAAAATTAAATTTAATTAATGAAATAAATATGCAATTAGAAAGTAAGAGTATAGGAGATATTTTTTAAAAATAGTATTTTAAATGAGAAGTTATTAAAATGACAATATTATGAATGATAATCAAATCATAGTTAAAAGGAGGATAACAAATTCTCTTAATTAAAAATAAGAACTATTTAAGTAAACTTAATAATTAATTAGAGAGATAGGTTATATATAAGTTAAAATAAACTTTTGAAAACATGTATAATTATAGGTGTCATTTTATTGAAGTCAGAGTAAGGACATTAAGAGCAAGCAATCCTAATTAAGGTAAGTATGCATGTTTCTATATTATGATAATTGTATTACATTTTAATTATTATTGCAAATGATTTATCTTACTGTTTATTTTAACCGCATTATAAATAATCCATCTCTCATATATTGAATAATTTACCTTACATTATTGCATAAAACATAAAGTAATGAAATGATTAGATATATATAATTGCATATGCATGTTGACTGATGGAGCTCACCCCCTTATAGTACCGGCTGAGGATATAATGTACGCGTGCACGTAAATAAAAAAAGAAAAGAAAATAGAAAATAAGTATCTTTATTCGTACTAAATTTAGATGGTGGCTCATGTGGTGATTGTACTATTTACAAGAAAGAAGAAAGATATAGATAAAGATATTGTATATGCATAATATTGAAATTCTTAAAATAAAATGAATTTAAATGGAATTACTTTATAATATGAATTGAAATGCTCATGCATATTATTCTAATTACCTTGGGTTACTGTAATTTAGAAACATGTTTTACTCGCTGAGTTGTGGTTTATTTTTAGTTGCTTTAACATTTTTCATGTATAATTTAATATAATTAAGATGAATAGAATAGGTGAAAATATGTATTGGTGTGGCGCACTTGAAGAAATATATTTAAATGATTTTATTTTAATATGTTTAAAATTTGAGATTTTAGTGGCTCTTTCTGCTTTATTAGAAATAGTTAGTTATTAACTGAAAATCTAGTCGATCATCTAATCGTCTATTCTCGTCTCCTTAATTCGAGCATTCGGGTTAGGTCATGACAAAAGTGGTATATGAGCCAGCTTAATATCTTAGGCATGTGAATCGCAATGAAAGAGTCATTTGTATGATTTATGAACTTGATTTGGAATAATTTTAATATTATATTAGATATTATAATTAATCAATGTATAAATATATTAGGTATACATATGATGAAGAGGATATAACTGACAGAAATATGGAAAGAGAAGAAGTACCATCTGAAGTACCTGTAAACAACAACACCTTCACCCAAATGATGGCGGCTATGACCCAGCTGTTTCAGGAATTAAGATCACAGCCTGGTGTTTAAGCTGATAAATATCTGAAGTTATTTCAGGGCATGCGACCGCCTCTATTCGAAGGTAATGAGGGACAAATTGAGGTTAAGAATTGGTTGCTTCGTATAAAGAAAATATTGGATAGCATTTCTTATTCTGATGAGAGGAAAGTGTCACCCGCTACTTTTTTCCTTGGATGGAGAAGCAGAAAGGTGATGGAGAGGGCAACATGAAGACAAGTTGGGAGATTAGTGGAGTTAAATTGGGTGTTGGATTGCAAGTTAGGAGTATAACAAAGGTTGGCCTAGGAGTTGGGCCTGAAATTTCAAATAGCGCTAGGTTGACCTCAGTTGACTAGATCTTCCAAAATATTGATTTAAAAAATCTAAAAACCCTCTAGTTTGGCCGATTTGATTAGTTAGAGTTTAGGTTTTTAGTGGCAATTGGAAAAAATGGTTGGGGAATGATATAGAGATGTCTTGAGATATTTTTTAGAGTTTTCTATAAATTTTGGAAGAATTTAATGCAGCCAAATCTAAATTGGATCAGCACCATATCAGATTTTGGCCAAGGTTTAGGCCTTGTTTGGTTCGGCTTCAATATGCCAAAATAAGTTATTTTCACGTTCGAAAGCACAACTTTCAGATGTGATTATACCGTTAAAAACCTCAGTTCCGAAGCCAAATCGTTGAAATTACTCCAGCACATGTACTTATATTGACCAGCACGTCTGCGAGCTTCATATTTCTAGTGGCTTGTCCATAGAAATGACCTTCATGATTTTGCAACTCTCTCCATCATTTCAACTTCGACTTGCTTCCTAGCCGCCAACCCTATTCACCTGCACGACTTCTGATTCCTCTATGTTTCGCACGCCAAGGCTGAACCTCACTCGACTCTTGCACGACCACACCAGCTGCTAAACCTACCGTCGATCGGTTCAGCCAACTCTGTCTTGACCCCAGCCCGTTCAAGCACCATCGGCCTATGCTCATCCCAACTGTCGAGTCGACCTCCCAGTTGCCATCTGATGCCCCTACTAGCCCATATCCACCTCCAAGTTGAATGGACCCTCAGCTTAGGCTTTATCACCACCTTCTAGCCTGACTCCATCCATCCTACCCAAGGCTGCTTGACCGCCTAGATCTAACTATAACCTTGCTGGTCCAACAATGATATGCCTCACATTCATATTTATTAAAATGTAAATGTGTCATCTATTAGACCTACCTCTCTTAACTTCAACATCACAGCATCAAACAAAATTTTGTACCTTCACATTTTACACTTCTCACCACCTTTAAAATTGATGAAAATATCGTAATTTAAAAATCCTGGAGGTTTTTCTATCTTAGATGAAAGTTATACAATATTTAAATTAGTTTTTATTTTTTATTATGTTATTTTTCAAATTGTATATGTTACATCTTGATATATTATTCATAATTTTAAATGAATCGTAAAACTCTTATTCTTAATATTCGAATATGATGTTTAAAATGAGATATTTAAATTTTTTGTATATTTCTTAATGTCTTTATATTCCTAAGAATTGCGGACCCATGCACCTTTGTATTTCTTAATGTCTTTAAATTTGTATATTTCTTGATGTCTTTAAATTTTTTGTTTATTTCTTAATGTCTTCATATTTGACCCCATTTGGTGCCATTTAGATTTAAACGAGAATTTGACTTTTAATAGGACACAATGGAGAAAAAGGATTCATGTAGCCGACCCCACGTAGTGGGATAAAGGCTTGATGTTGTTGTTGTTGTTGTTGTTTGTCTTTATATTTGACCCCGTGCACTTCTATTACGTATAGTGGAAGAGCCATTTCTACTCTCGCTCCCGAATTAAGCACCATGTTCGACCCTTTTATCAAATTGCTCATGTTGTAAATGTTTGGTCGTCGTACCCTTTTTCATATAAGCTGTAATTTCCTCCTTCACGTTATTCGGAACATTCGCACAAGGTGTTACATTCTTATGTGAGCCGGATAAGTGTTCCTTCATGCGAGTTACTCCTCCATTCACAACTTTATCACAAAAATTGCATTTTAAATACATATATCTTCTCGCCGCCTCTTACATTAACTTGTACACTGTATTTCCAAGAAGGCTCACGCTGCAATGACGTATTTGTCTTTTCCTTGCCCCTAACTATGTTTCCTAATGCACAAATGCGAAAACATACAAAAAATCTCAAAAAATAGAAAACCCTAGATTTTTTATAACTTGAAAAAATTTTCCTTAAATTAAAAAAAAAATACATAAAACCAATAATGGAGTGCTTGTAGAGGGCGATCGGACCCTTCTTGCTCACCGGCGTGAGGTGGCGCCGGCGGGAGAGTGGCAGAAAGCCAACCCGAGCGGAGCTGAGTGGAAGGTTTGCGAACGAAAGAGGGCTTGCGGGAGAATTTCGTTCGGTTCAGTTAGAAACGAATGGAAGAATAGAAGAAATACCTTATTTTAAGTAGGTGGGACCCAATTTTAAGTGGCGTGCACCTCACATATAATTGCGCAATAGCGCCTTAGAGGGGCGCCTCTTAGCCCGTGAGGCATAAGCCTCACATGAACCCAAAATTGCTTAGGCAATGAGGCGTTTGGGGGCTGAATTGTGCAAAGGCAAACCTCTAATTGTGCAATTTTAAACTATGAGGAATATTAAGAGTAAGATAAAATATTTATCTTATTAGACCTATAAATATGATAACAACATTTGATATCTAGATTATAATTTTTATTATTAATATTAGAACTTCAAACTACGTAAATAAAACTTAATAAATTAAATTAAGTATAAATTCAATATTTTTATTAATAAGAATAGAAATAAATAATAAGTCATTAATATATAATTAATTAACATAGATGATATGTTAAATGAGAGAATTTAACAATTTCGTGGAGTCAAGGTTTCAATTTTTTTATTTTCTGCCTCATTTATCTTAAAGTCTAAAACTAATAATCGATGTTGGGTACATAAATTTTCACTTGGAATAACTTTACAATCTTTACAATTTAAATGGTCTAATTTTCTTATAATAAAGTAAATAATATAAGTTTTACTATATCTATTTTTATAAGTGATGAGGTGCTCATCTCTTTGATGTCAAAAATAATGTTGGTATTGTGTCCCAATGGAGAGGCCACTTGGTGAGAGTTAAATTAGGTTGTAACCCTTCACAAGTGTCTTATATAGGTGGGAAATATATCGATGGTGGATTGCAAGTTAAGAGTATAACAACGGTCAACTTAAAGTTTGGGCTTGAAATTTTAGATAGCGCTAGATTGATTTAAATTGACTAGATCTTTCAAAAATTGATCGAAAAAATTTTAAATCACTTTTAAAAGTTAGGGAAGGTCTACTTGTGAAAATGAAAGGTTTCATCATTTTTTGGAGGATTTTAGTTTTTTTTTTTTTTTAATTTTAAAATTGGCTAGGTATAGTAAAAGTCTGATTTGTTTGATTTATTAGTTAGGGCTAAATCTTTAGTGGCAATATTTAAACTCAAGAAAAAAGGCAGAAAAGACTAGGGAATGATATAGGGGTGTCTTGAGATGTGTTTTAGAGTTTCCCACAATTTTGGGAAGTGTTTAATTAATGCCACCAAATCTAAACTAGATCAACACTAGATCAAATTTTAGCTAGGGTTTGGATGACCACTATGAGTAGGTCTAAGTGGAAATTTTTATGGGATTTTCTTAAAGAAATATTTTTAGGATCAAGTAGGGATAAAGCGAAACAAAATCCACAATAAAAGATTTAAACAAAACACAAAGATAAAACCAATGGACTCATAAAAAATGATTTGAGTGAGAGCCTATTACGGAACACCAAGTCAAGCCACTGCTTGAAAATCACTCCAACTTCAGCCACCAAAACTTTTAAGCACTTCATTCCACAACAAATACAAGTATTTAGTGTTTTACAAGTCACTCCTTTCAAATTACTAAAAGGGAGCACTTATGGTGGCCAGCCCCAACATGTAACTACAGGTAATAACCTCTCTATGGAATAACCACCATAAGGAATAACTTTCTCTAACCTTCATGGTCAGCCCTCATTTTGAAAATAATATAATAACTCATTTTTAACATAAGTTTTATAACCTAAATTGTATATAACCACACACACGATACATAAAGTGTTGACTTATACATAATATCCACATTACCATCAAATATAATTAAATAATAAATTCCTTATTTTTAACATAAGTTTTGCATGTTAGTAGTTTAGTACACTTTTGATTCCTTTCTCTACTTGCTCGGTTCTCTATTCTCTCTCCTTTGTTCCAGTATTCTCTCTCCCTTCTCAAAGTAATAATCCAAACCCCTCTATCCCGAGCCCCTCTTCCATCTCTACCCTACTTATCTCTTCCATTTTGTCTCCCTAAGTCTCTTATCCAAGAATTTTTATATGCCTCATTCTGATGCTTTAGATCTTAATTTATCGGCATAATTACTTGTAGTTTGCTAGGGGCATTGAATATTTTTTGTAAGAAATAATATGAACATCGGCAAGTAAAATTTCTAACACGTTCTGTTATGTCTAGTTGTCTATGCTCAATAGAAAATGGCTATCCTCTAGGATTCTCTATTTTATGTAGCTTTCCATGAATCATGCGGAAATCACATCAAGTGGGCCTTAATAATTGAGGCATGATGATATTTACCCAATTATAGTTGATGGGCCTTTTTTATCCCTCATATGAAGTCTAGGATACACTAATAGGTAGACCTAAAAGAATTTTGTTAGAAATATTAGAAATGATCTTTCTTTATTAGATTTAAATGAGAATTTGACTATAACTAAGACATAATGGAGAAAAATGATTTATGTAGTGGAACCCATTAGGGTGGGATAAAAGTTTGATGTTATTGTTGTGTTGTATATGAAGTCTAGGCTAATTGCTAAGCTATGTCAATTATTCTCTTATTGAATTTGGAATTTGCTCGTCTCTTGCCAATCTTTTTTATGGACTTGATATGAAACTAATACTGCAGACAAGTTCATTTTGTTTTTTTTTTTTTTTTTGGCATGTTAATGAAATCATAGTTGGATAACTAAATTGATGTCTCATTCTTATTTTTTAAGGGTTGGTGGCTTTTGCGAAACAAAGTCGAACTTCCAAAAGTAGCTGCTCTTATGGATTGTCTGGTTTTTCTCATTGGGTAATTTACTGTTCCATATTTAGTATTGTTTATTTTTTACTATAAACTTATGATATTGTTCTCCTTTAGAGATCAAGTTCCTATCTTATCTTCGTTCTGAGTATTCTATGGAATGTTTCAGCTATCAAATATTTAGAGGAGCTAACAAGCAAAAGCATGTTTTTAAGAAGGATCCCAAAGCTCCCATATGGGGCAAGCCTCCTAAAGTTATTGGAGGGAAGTTGCTTGTATCTGGTTATTGGTATATTTCGAAAACCATCCCTTTTTTTTTTTTTTAATATGTTGAAATTTTTGCCCTTTGATTCTCCATCATTTGCTTCCTTACATTGTAGAACATGTTTTCTTTTTCCGCATGCATCAAAACTCCCACACCCATCAATTGGTGAATTTTGTTATTGCAGGGGAATTTCAAGGCACTGCAATTACCTTGGAGATTTACTACTGGCATTATCATTTAGTTTGCCATGCGGAGCAAGGTTTATCCCTCTGTTTTTAATACTTGTTATTGGTTTCAAACTATAATGAATGCTATAATTGTGTAGCTTTGGTCAAACTCTTCTTTTCTCGTGCAGTTCTGTAATTCCATACTTCTATCCCATATACCTTCTTATTCTGTTAATATGGAGGGAGAGAAGGGATGATTCCAGGTGCTCACATAAGTACAAAGAAATCTGGGCAGACTACTGTGAGCATGTTCCTTGGAGGATTTTCCCATATGTTTATTAGAAGTAATCTCTTATCCTTGAGAGGTAAACAAATTTTTAATTCTCAACCTTTTTAACTTTCCGTGCATTTTATGCAGCTTCAGAAATTCAAGCTTGCAAAGCTTTGTACTTTGAATACTGGTATTTTATTTTTTTTTAAACTATAGTTGTTTTTGGCCTTTTTTCATGATTTCACAAAGCTTGATTGCTCTTAAAAATTATTTCTTAAGAATTTAATAGCGAGCATTGGATTTTGTTATGATTTAGATTTTCTCCATTTAGTAAAAAGTATTAAGAGAAGTAAATTTCTCAATTGCACCCATCCGATTAATTTTGGATGATTGGGATTAATTTGGCTTTATAAAAAAGTACCCCAACCATTTAAAATAAGCTGGGTGCTTGTGATTTGATTATTTGGGTTGGACTTACATGGGTACCGGCTAATTTTATCTTATTTATCATTTAAAATAAGTTTAGGCTAGGTGCACCACCTCATAAATAACTCAAATATTATTTGTTTGTAAAAGACCAGTTTTACACGATTGAATATGTTCTAATGAAAAATTTAAAATATTTGAGATTACGGTTTCCATAAAGCCAAATGAATTAGAATTAAAAAACGCTCCAATTTTCTTTTTGCTTTTTTTAACGCAAATTCAAGTTGAAAGCTGTCTTAAGAGCCTCTAGAATCAACCTAAGCCAATTTTGGCTACATAGGGACCCTTATGTATATATTAAGTTCAGTTGTAGACCAGAAATTATTTATAGCATTTTTAAAATATACTATCCTAAGCCCGTTTTTTTAACAAGCTTTCCCTCTCCCTTAATAGTCACTCCAGGTGTATTAAAATAACAATAATAATTGAAAATAGCCTATAAATATGAAGTTCCAATGTGGCTCAGGGTAGATAATCAAGTCAATTTTTATCTCAAGAATAATAGACTATAAATTTCATTAATCCAAATGAAATTTAGATCTCCTGGGTCAATTTCTTATTTCATGGATAGGGAATAATACATATATCTGCATAACTACATACTTCAGAACTTTTAAAATTTACAGATAAATACGCATAACATATGCATTTTCATACAGTTCAATAACACAAAAACCCATTCTAATTTTTTAATATATTAGAGCGAAGCTAACAGCTTTATCTAATATTAAGAGCTAAAAAAGCCCAAAATTTACAAGCCAAGAAATACTGCCTAATAACGGAAGAGATAACACATCAAATTTCATTTTATTCGTTCAATGGGCATTCAGCAAATACTTCGGCGGCTTACAAATGTTGCTTATTTTCCACGATGCTAATGGCTGCAACAAAGCAATACTTAAGTTTAAAGCCCTAAACAATGCTATATTATTTCCCAGATTCAAACAGTGCTAAAATAAGGGGAAAAAAACATAACATTTCGTCCTGGTACATTACTACCGAAAGCAAATAATAATAATAATAATATTTTCTCATTTTCTAAAAAATTTCAGACAATATCGAACAAAAAAGCATTGACAATATCCATGTTTATAGTAAGACGTGTCACACACAAACAAACATATATGCGTTTGTTCTCTCAGGTAAAAAAATTTACAGTTATTGCCGAAATCCTGAAATCAAATCCCATATTTATGCACTTATAATTAAATAATAATAATAATAATCCAAATGCAGAAGAATTATATAGATGCTAAACCATGTTTCATACATGCATATGTCCTTCTTAGGGCAAAACAAAATTATTTCAAATACATACAGTTCGATAAAAGAAAATAAATATTTGCCACAAAACCGCTGATACAGCCCAAAAAGGGTAGTCACAACTGCTCCTAAGAATATATAGAGATTAGGTAAGATAACAATGATACAAATTAAATGTTTTCTATCAATTAATTTGGTACAACAAACAACATCTTCCCTAAACTAAGCAGCTCTCCACGTCGAATCATCTAAGTCACAATTTCAAGATCAATCATCCCTCATCTTTATTAAACCATATCTCCATCCAGATATTTCGTTGTGTTTTTTGGTTTTCTACAAAAAAAAAGCATTTAAAATTTGTTGCTGGAACTGAACGAGCTCTTCATCACCGTTGACTAAAAAAAAATAAATTTTTTTTTTCTAACTTCAACTATTAGCACAAATTCATGATTAACCCTATTTTCATGTCTATATCTTGCAAATTTTATATGATGCACAAATAACACTATCAAAATGATTCATATATTCATATTATCAAACTTAATGAAATTCAAAAAGAGTGTCAAAAGCAACCAGCAAACCTCAAACCAGTAATGCCCCCGCTTCCATTGCCAGGAGCCGTTACAGTGCAGCTCATTAAGCATAATGAGTTTCAGATGCAAAACACAGTTCATACCTACAAAAAATATGAATATCGAAAAATGGTAATGTCAGTAGATATTCTCCGAACTTTATGCTTCTAGGCACCAGGAACACATACTCACAAGAATTTCAAAGAAATTGTGGGAAAAGTTATAATGAGTTAATTTTTCATAACTTAATGCTTGCTCTTTCCAACTGATAAATCCACAAGAGAGGAATAGATTGTGATGCAAGCGAGGATCAAATTCAAGAAATTAACAACTTCCAAAACTCTTAGGAATGAGACTAATTAAAATGTTTATTTTAATGGACAACCCTAGCTAGGATTGCATTTGATTTAGATAATGGATCAGCAGCACCAACTGCTTAGCAACCAACCTAGTTGAAATTTTACAATAGTCTAGTTGAAACAGCAAATATAATCTCCCGATAGACTAACCAATCATTTCTGACTTGAAAACATATCTCCAAGATCTGGCAGTTTCACTGACAAACGGGAACTTGTGGAAAAAAAATTGGGTCAGGCTATCTTGAAATAAGTAGTATGAGGAAAATTATTAGATTTATATTTAAATTAATTCAATAATTCTCAACCCTAAGCTTATAAAAAATGTAACAGGATATCCTAATATATATTTTTTAAAATTTGTGTACACAGTTGATAAGCTAAATAGCAATTCAAGTAGGTAATTTTTTAAGGAATCATCAGAAAATGAGAAAAATAATAAAAAACAGCAATAAAAATCCCTTTTTTCAGATTAAAATGACATGACGCTAATAAGCACTGGTATCAACTTAAGTACAGCAGAGATTTTTAAAAAAAAAAAAATTCTAGGAAAAAATAAGAAATTAAATAAAGATTGAAAGATTACCGAACTGAAGGGGAAGATTGAACTCCATTATTAGTCAACTGTACCGAGTAAAATCTCCATTAACGGCAGATGCTGAAATGCACTTAGCATGCACAATGGGGACCTCCACTATGCTATTTTCCATGCCTCTGGAAACACATTTCTCATCCGTTAGGTTCAGATAAGTAGTCCCTTTGTACATCCATTCGTCCCTCTGAATAGAATAGAAGTCCTCAAATGGTTCTCCACAAAGAGCACATATGCTTTGCCTTTCGTCTGCAGTAACCATAGGCTCTGGTATCACTTGAGAAGGTGCGGCTTCTATGGGAATGATAGGTACTGGCCCACATGGTGGCGTGACATCTCCAGAAATCCAGCTGCTGATGCTTGAATACCATCTCCGACACGCTTTGTCCATACTACTTATTTCTGAGTCATTCGAGTTATGCCAATCCAAGTGACTCTGAAGCTCATGTTGATGTCTCAATCGCAGACCACATTTCATGCATCGATGCTTTAGATTATCTAAGAGGCTATCAATCACCAAAGGATGAAACTCGCGAATAATTTCAGTCTTGAATTGAATACCTATCAGACTGTCATCCAAGGAGGCTCGGTGCGGACTAGATGCCTCACAACAGATTATAAGCTCTTTCGAAGAAAGCGGTGGGGTAGATGTACTTGCATCTAGATCACTGTTCTGACTCAAGCTTTCCTTTGACATCTGACTAGAAGTAATGGTTGGCAATTTTGTCGATGCCGAGGTTATTAGGCCCTTTGCAACTAATGAGCTCAGGAGGCTCGAAAGTGGATTCAGACCAATGCTAGCTGAGTTGATGGTTTGTGAAGAGGTGCCTACTAGTGATATTGAAGGTGGAGGACCAGGTGGCAATGGAGGTAGCCTGCCTCCTCCTAGAAAAAGGGGTGCAAAAGCAGGAGCAATGCCATGAGAAGATGTCATTTCTGCGAATGAAGTTGGCAAAGAAGCAGAGGAGGTCAACGCTTGTGCGGGTGGAGGACCACTTGGAAGGGGAGGATGTATTATATTCAAACCACTTGCTGGTTTGTCAGGCAAAACATCAGTACTCAAAATTGAAGCCAATAAATTACTGTTGTTGGATTGCCTAGAAACATCAATGGGGCAATTAGAGTGCATCACACCAGACAATCCTTTTGACTTATTAGGGCTAAAACCCTGGGATACAGGTGCTGAGGTCTCATTCTGGACAGCCTGCATTAATGGATCAGGCTGAGACTGTCGCAATGAAGACCTATGTTGCTCCGGATATGGTGATAAGACGGGCAAAGAAGTAAGTGGCAGGGAAGGCTGTGAATTAAATGTCGCATGAGTCTTTTGAACTGGTTTTTCCGATAAAACTGGAAAAGAGTCATGAATGGCTGGTGCAAATGGATCCCTGTTTAACTGGTCTGCAAGCTGGCTTGATTTCTGACCTATTTGAGATGAGTGAACTGGAAGATAATCTTGGTCCATTAGACCACGTAGTTTCTGTTTTTGAAGGGGAGCAGATGGGATGGAAGGAAAGACGGGTGAAGGAGATCGCAGAAGCAGTTGCCTCTGCTGCCCTAAAACTCCACCCGATCCTAATCCATCTATAGAAGAGCCCAAGCTTGAAGGAAGAGTAGATTGTAATCCAGACTTGGGCATGATTGAATTATCATTATTAGTAGATAAAGCACCACCAAGAGGTGTTGGCCTGCACTCTGTTTGACCTGAAACCGTTGATATCGTATGATCTAACCCAAGAGCTGGCAGTAGTCGGTCACGCAGAGGCAGAGGCCATGTACCCTTCTTTACTCTCGGCTCAATCTCTTGGTGATGTTGTTGTGAATAGTGCTCTTCACCATCCTTCAAAAAGGGAAAAAATCAAAATTATATTAACGAGACCTGCATGAAGTTTATAACTATAAACTATGTTTGATGTTTACTGATAGTGATTCGACTGTCTATTTTATAATTAAACATTAAGTGTAGATTTGATGTTCGAACTACATTCTTCATAAAATGTGTTAACGAACCTAATAAAAAAAAGCAGCACATATACATTTCTGTTTAACAGCGGGAACGAGATGACAAGTTTAGTCATTTCAAGTTTACAATTACCGCAGTAGAATAAAATGATAGTAAGACATAAAAGAAGATTTAGTGGCTAGCTTATGCAGTCCGAAGTGTAATTTCTACTAAGCACAATCAAGGCTTCAAATTCACCAAGCAGAGCATAACAGCTTCCTGTTCCTAGAAGAATATCAGGCAATTAAAAAAAAAATGCCAGGAAACTTACGCTTGTGAAATGAACTCTATCTTCTATTCCTACAGTTTTTGAACGCGGATTAACTGCATCAATTTTTTTTAATCTGGAGTCAACTTGATCAGTCTCCATGGGCATCCACTCACGACTTTGCAAGCCAGGTAACTTGTCCTGATCATCAGTACTCAAACTGTTTCTTTTATTTCTTGCTCCCTCATAATCTGCTGATCTGGAACCCATTTCATCCCAGACATACTCTTCCTCCTCAGAAGTTTTCCAATTTTTAGAAACCGGCCAGTTTGTTCTATTAGAATGGATTGAAGCTACCTGACTATTATTTGGAGCAGACTTTAATGCTCGATAGCTACCATAAGCATGATTTGCATCAAAACCATTTCTTCTATAGACTGTTGATTGAGCTGCCACACCGGTCTCAAAATAGGGTTTGTTTGGTTCATCTAACTCACTAATCTGATCAACGGTCCTCCTTAGTTCATCTAAATCTTTAACCCGGCCACTGATCCTCCCCACTCCCATATCTTGCTGTCGTGGAACTTGAGAAGAAAAAACAGGATCTCTTATATCCTTGTAACCTTTTCTCTCATTAATAAAGTCACTTGGTTGTTCCCTTTGAGGGAGTTGAACATCCTGAAATGTTATTATTCAAAAAACAAAAAAATCAAAAGGCTTTAGCACTTAGTAGTTTATTAAGAGTAATTTAAATTTTCTTTCTGTAGCCTATTAGAAGCAATGGAACATAAGAATAAGGCATAGAAAACTCATAAAGGAACCTTATTAGATAATTCAGACCACTGCCTAATACTCCCAGCACTAGGATTTCGAATGGACCTTTCTGTATCATCAACTGGTGCAACAACTTCATCAATGTCTTCGCTGCTTATTTCCTTCCCCTTCATAATATAAAAAAATAATAAGACCTTTCAGCACATAAATTAGCTGCTGCAAAATAAGTGAATTACCAAAAAGCCATACTTGTTCCATGAAAAGTTACAAGATATAATGCCAGAAGATAACCAATATGGCAAGAGCATAGTTGGTAAAGCATTACTTTTCCTGTGAAACCAAACTTTTGATTAATACGCAAAATAAACGATGTAAATCACTAACCATGCAACACATTCAAATCAACAATCACTACTAAACCCAAGTTTTGATTAAATCAAACGGGTTCATAAATTTAATTGTATGTATTTTATTAGGTTACTTTTATTTACAATTATGTACAATTATCCATTAAGAAAAATGTTGATATTCAATTCAACTAAAATGATAGAATTAGATTTAAGTTTATATGAAAAGATAGGATTAGTTTTTTATTTAAATTAAAACATTATTTCTATCAAAAGGTAGGACGAGTGTGTTATTATTAATATTATGAGTTGAAATAAGAAACTTAGATTGATCCCTCACCCTTCCTGATAATCCTCACAATAATCTGATTCCATCTTCACAATAATCTGATTCCCAATCTCTTTCAACATTTTTTTCACTCTCGACCAAATTATGCATGCTGAGAATTCCCAATTCTCTTTCCACATCCCTTTCTCAAAGGAAAATCTCATTATTGTGACATCTCTTGATTTATTCAGCTCTCCTATTTCTTCAAGAAACCAATACTCTACTTCCACTTTATTCCTTAATAAACCAAGCAAATTTCAAGAGGAACATGGAGCACAAAAAAAGATGCAGTCAAGATTTACATCAATTTGATGTCAGAACTAAAATCTACAAACCCTTACCCCAATTCCATATTTCTTTCATGTTAACCTTCCCCCACTTCATGGAAAGGAACCAAAATGACCCCTAACTATTTAAAAGTCCCTTTTTAGTCTCTTGACTTTTAAAATAGGAACTTAGATGATCCCAAATAAGAACTAATTTAGCCCCTATTTAAAGAATCAAAGGATCAAATTGATATTTTTATATAGTTGAGAACTATTTTAATCAAAAAAAAATTTAAAGGACCATCTCTCTCTCTCTCTCTAGAGCTCCCTCCCTCGCTAGAGCGCTCGCTCGCTCTCTCTCTCTCTCTGTATATATATATATATATATATATATATATATATATATGCGTGCGGAAACATGGGGCTAAATGTGTGTGGGTGGGTACTTTTGACAAACAACTCAATAGTTAAATTTCCCAAAATTCCAATCTCACTCACATTGGGAAGAAATTTGAACATTTCTCATCACCAAATCTTTTTTTTTTTTTTTTTTGATTCGATGAGTAACCAAAAATTCATTTTGAGTTGACTCAAAATAGACTTTTTTTATGTTGAGTAGACTAAGTTAAATTACACTTTAGCTTCGTGCTAATACAAGTCGGCATGGACTTATTCATTTCAAGTCAACTCGCTCAAACTCAGCTCAATGCCCACTTATTTCTTGCAATAACCAGATATTTAGTCATAGATGTTAGAAGTACCATGAAAGACATATCTCAAACCACCTTGACTAATGCAATCTTAAGGCTAAGCAGCATTAAGTCCTTTTAATGTTGCATGGGTCAAGACATTTTTTCTTTCTCGGAAAATATCATGCATATACAATTTGATCGATATTCTAATATGAAATGTAGTGTATAACATGACTGGTGCTAGATATTTGATAGGTCAACCCTAGCTTTATGACATGAATGTTCTTCATAACACTAGAACCAACATTTATACTTTCAAATTGAAGGATGCTAATATTAGAGTGCTATATAAGCATACTAAACAAATATATGATGCCCAACCAATAAAAGGTGTGAGCAAAACTAAAAATTAATTTCCACCTAAACCATTAGTTCAGTTTTTATTTCCTTGGGAATTTATGATAATTGAAATTGAATCTGAACAAAATGTTATATAACTTTCACATAAGGTGCAATCAACGAATACTAATTATATTATTCATCTATCATATCTTCTTTACTATTTCATAAAGTATACAAAAAATTAGTTTTGCGTACGAATCACCTGCAAAAGATTATTATAGATCACACATAACAAATTGATGAAGATGTGCCAAATCAAATATAAGAAAGTGTTACTAGCTCTTAGTGAGAGTGTTCTTTCAACCTAAATAAATTAAAGTAACAAAAAACTAAAGTCAAGAATCAAAGCTAGATCCAAGTCTAGATTGAATCAAATAGGTTCATGAGTTTAATTGTTACATATTTTATTATGCTATTCTTATTTAAAATTAGGTAGGCATTATTCTTTTTAGATGATTTTGATTTTTACTTTAAAGTAGATTGAGTCTAAATATGAATATTGAATTAAATTTTAACTTAAATTGCAACATATTTCTATAAATATTTAATTTATAACCTTATTTTATGGTCAATGTATGAAGAATAATATCATTATTATAAGTTGAAATAAAAAATTCATTAACCCCCCCCCCCCCCCCCCCCCACCCCCCCCCCCCCCCACTATCTTGTCTCTCATCCTGATGGTACTCAAGAAAATCTAATTCACAATCTCTTTTTGCCGTTCTCTTTCCTTGTTGCCATCAAGGAAGCATGATCTCAATAATCACCAATTCTTTCTCCAACATTCCATTCTCACAAGAAAACCAAACCATTGGGAGAAATCTCTATTCAAGAGACAAACACCTCTTGTCCATCTCATTAATTCTTTTCATGAGAATCCAAAAAAGGAATATAAAAGAGATTGACAATTCAAAATCTCCATTACCACTCACTAATGCAAAGCCTTCACAATTCAAGATCTCCAATGCCACCCACTAATGCAACGCCCTCAAAGCCTCATGATTATAGAGCACACATGCAGAGCAAACTATCCATCTTTGTAAGACTATTAGCTATTTAATATGGCATGGGATTTCCTAACAAAACCTGAACATTTAAAAAAATATAATAATGATGTGGAGGAAAACAAGCAAAAACCTTATATTAAATAAATCATATTCCAGGTTAAATAATTAATTATTAGAATTAGGTTTTGAATGCCACAAGCCAACCAACCTAGATATGGATCCTCAAAAGTGAATGATGCTTCACTCATTTATTATATCAAAACTGAGATTTTAACAATCAAGCATGATAATGTTAATGTTATTGAGAACTTTAATGCAATGAAAATTTATTACCTCGAACTAGATTAATATCAAGATCTCAAAATGACATTCTATGATGATGCAATAATTTTCAATCAATTTGTAAAAAGACCGCTTATTTGAGTTCTTTGTATTGACAATCCATGTGCCTACTCTTACTCTTCTAGTCATCAACCCCTCTTAGAGATTTTTTTTTCCTTTTTTTTTTAAAATAGCTTTAATTTATTTCCATTGCAAGACTTTTACAGAAGACCATATATACTTTCACATTTTGTATAGAATAAAGTAAAAAAATTCTAAGAACTTTTTTCTACTTTTCTATCTTTCTACACTAGGCTTTCTAGTTATAATACCTAATTTAAATATCTCAATGCAGTTTATGCTTATAACGTGTTATTAGTTAATCATGTATGAAATATGTCAACAACTTGAAGGTCAATTGATTTCTATTTCCTCTGCAAATGATTATTGCAATAAAAGAACATAAACAAGACAGTTGAAAAGCGCTTAGAATAATTCATAGCCTATTATCAAACATTCATTGAAAAATTGGATACCTCTTCAAAATGGCTGAATAAATGTATCCATATGTTTTTGCTCACGTAGGAGCACATGTAATAAAACACAGGCATGACCATTAACTCGGTTTATGAAAGAGAAAGGGAGAAATTTTAACACAAAAATTAGGCATACAACTTAAAATAAAAGGAATAGCTGAACTCTTCAACATAATTTCTATAACAGATATAGAAATAAAATTATTAAAACATGAATTAAACTACAACAGTAAACTTGTTTTTGCAATGGCTGAACTCTAATAAGTAATCACTTTTCATATTCTGCATTTATTTCGACAAAAAAAAAAGTGCATGTTTAATAACATATACTCCAGGAACCACATGTAATAAATTAATTCTAACCAAGTTATGTAGCCTTTGTGACAAAATACAAATAAATAGGAACTAAACATCTAGCATATAAATTGGATATAAACATAGGAGCAATTTGTGTAAAAAAAAGAAACAATAGAAAAAGGAAAAAGGGCAGCGCATAACTAGAAACCACAATTAAAACCTACTTTCTTGCTTATACTTTTTTGTCAAATTCATAACAAAGCTATGACCATTAACTTAGTTTATGAAAGATCAATGGATAAATTTGAGCGAAAAAAGTAGATCTAAAACTTGAAATAAAATTGGCAGCCAAACAGCTCAACAGAATTTCTACAACAAGAGCAATGTGAAAATGATAAAACAGAAATTCAACTAAGCCAGTAATTATTTTTTTTTAAAATGTCAGGTTTGATGACTGATGAGTAATACATTTTCATATTCAGCATTAATTTTAACAAAAAATGTGAAAGTACACTACAGAAACTGGATAAAATCAAAGAATTCTGGCCAAATACTGTAACCTAAGCAGATAAAATGCAAAACGTAATAACACGCATGTAGCATAAGCAGTAGATATAAAGTTAGAACCAATTTCTGCTAGTAGAAACGATAGGAAGGAGCACAAAGGCAGCACATAAATAGAAAAAACAAAACTTAAAATGCTTTTGTGACTAATACTGCTTTTTTAAGAAAAAAAACTATATTTTGTCAAGTTCAAAATAAAACATTTAAAATAGCAATTGTTTCTTAGCCAAACAGTGTGAATTACACAGGAATATTATACACATTTCTTGGATGATTATAACCCCATATGGTTGAAAAGAAAAAGCCTAGTTCATAACGGAAAGCTAAGAAAACATCAAATTTGTTCTTTTCAACAACGAAGTCTGCTAAGAAGTAAAAATAATAATCAAGCACAGGATTATAGGAAGTCAAGTGCCGAGTCGCAGCAAGATATTATAGTTATACAAGAAAGAAAATGAAGCATGTACATCATTAATGAATTTTCCAATGAACATCAATTGAGATGGATAAATAAAGATAATCCACTATATATATAAACAATATTGTTCAACTGTCCTTACCCTTGTGGATTGCTGAAAGCGTTGTCTAGCCTCCAAATACTTTGGATTAACATGAATACTGTGGGATGGCCTTTGTGAATGAGCATCTGGCCTTGTTCCGGTGCTTCCAGATGAACCATTTACAACATGTTGAAAGCCCAATTCGTTCTCAATTGATTGGAGGCAAGAAGTGGGGAATACCCCTTTCCATGTTCCAAATAGATGCCTCAGGCTATGATGTATGGAAGGGTCAACTTGTTTGTAGGCTTTGCAGAATACCTACGCCAAGGAAAAGAGCACATGCAACCCCAAAAGAATAATCAAAGTGCATATCAGGCTATGATCTTAAAATGAAAAGAAAAAAAAAATTTATATATATATATATATATCAAGTCTGGAATCAGAAAATGAAAAAGATGATAATGTCATAATAATAGTACAAAATGTTTCCTGGCATAGATTGAAATGAGAAATTAATGCTAAAATTTAAAACATTAATACATATAATCAATTATAAGGAACAAAAAAGAGGAACAACCAGTAAGCCAATTAGATGAATTCATCAATGGAGTAACTGAAAGAATAATCTACCTGTGGTAATCTTGCCGCAAAATATTTAATGTAATCTCCTCCAATATTCTTCACGATGCTATCAAGAAGATACAAAGATGGCAACTTTTGCTCAGTAGGAACCTGCACATAAGCAAAAAGAACATGCACAACATCATGAAAACAAATTAGTCAAGTATGGTGATAAAGAAGTGACAAAAGATGGTAGCATACAGTTGCAAAAACTTAAAGCATGAAAACATACTTAAACTATTACAAAAAGTCACGAAAAGCATACAAGACATTGGTAAATTGAATAAACCCAAAGGAAGGAATATTTTATTGAACTTTTCATCTCTACAATATAAAATTCCCCATAAAAATAAACATGAAATATGATCAAGGACTTATGTTTACAAGAACTTTTTGACACATCAAAGTATAAACCAACGACAACAACATCAAGCCTTTATCCCACTACGTGGGGTTATAAAAGTATAAAACAAATAATTAAATAATCAACAAATACTTTCACCATTGCTATTAAAAACAAATCAAGCGCTCCAATAGTCGCCGGGTCTGTGGCCAAGCTAGGCCAGGAGAGGCTCCACTATTTCAAACACTTCCCAAATATGCACCATCACTAAGGAACTGCATAGGCGAGTGCTGATGTATAAGGTGCTAGGCATTAGGGCACTAGTCTCTATGATGATTTTTTTTAAAGCATACACAACCATACTATGAGATGGAGGACTATGAATCTAATAATGAGAAAGAGAGCATAGGTGATGAATAAGATGAAATAAATAGTAGTAAAGATTAGATTAATCTTACATTATGGAAGCTACCAATTTAAGTTTTTATTTATTTGTTTAAACTTGAAACATCACTTTTGGACATTGTGAGCACTTTTATTTAGATAACCTTTTTGGCAATTTTTTTTTTTCATTTTTGAATTTTTAATGACATAAATTTAACAATGTATTTTTCAAAAATAAATTACTAATATTTGTTATGATGATTACATATCATATCCTTCAAAAGTATTTCTCATAATTAAAATATGTGATTTTTATTTAGCATCTTATTTCTCTCACAGGAACACCTAGGCTACTGCTTAGCACCTCAAATCAATTTGGCATTGAGAATGCCAAGCATTTTTAATAACAATGATTCCCACATAATTTATGTAATATATACTCCTAAAAATCTGCATTCTTAAGTACCAAGCATTAGTAGATAGAAATAGGGAAATGTTGTCTAAGCAACTTAGTCCCACAAAATTGAACATTAAGTGTAGGTAGTGATGACTGTTACCTAGGGTAAGTTAATCCAAACTCCAAAAATGTTTAGCACAAATTAATCACATGACAACAGTAACACTGACTTCAAGCATTTGCTGGTTTTCATGGTAGTTGCAAATCACTTTTCATGATGACCACCATTTCCATGACCATCCAATCAATGATCCAACTAAATGGAAACAACAAAAAATCTAGAAAGAGACGCTGAATGGTCATAAGTTCTCATTTTGTCCCATCCCTATTTGGAGGGGCCAATTCGTGCGCCAACCCCAACATTCAAAGACTGGGCATTAGGAGAATGATGTAATAACTTCTACCTATGTGTAAGGTAATCCAGACTTCATAAATGTTTAGCATAAATTAATCACATGAAAAAAATAACACCAACTTAGACCATCTGTTAGTTTTTCATGGTAATTGCTGCATACTCTTCATGATGACCATCCAAGTCTTGATACAACATAATGGAAGCTACAACAAGAGCTAGAAAGAGAAATTGAAGAGGCGCAAGTTTTCATCACACACTCACAAAACTTATTTAATAGTCAGGAAAAAGCATAATTACTTGACGTAAAAACAGTCAATCCTGAGAGTTTGAGAACTGAAATGCCAGCCTGGAAGCAGAGTGAGCCATCCCTATTTGGCAGGGCCAATTAGCACCAACCCCAACATTCAAAGACTGAGCATTAGGAGGAGACTGGGTAAGGTAATCCAGACTTCATAAATGTTTAGCATTAATTAATCACATGACAAAAATAACATTAACTTTGACCATATGTTAGTGTTTCATGATAATTGCTGCACACTCTTCATGATGACCATCCAAGTCTCGATACAACATAATGGAAACTACAACAAGAGCTAGAAAGGGAGATTGAAGAGGCACAAGTCTTCATCAAACACTCACAAAACTCATTTAATAATCAGGAATTAGCATAATTAGTTGATATAAAAACAGTTAATCCTGAAACAAAATAAAGTGGATAGTTTGACAACTAAAATGCCAGCCTGAAAGCAGAGCAAGTGAGAATAACCCCAAAAAACATTGTTGTACAGCAAGTTAATGCAGCTCACGGCCTTCAAATCTTCCAGACGGTTTCTCTCTAACCAAACAGAAAGAACATGATTGGCTAATTAAACTTTAATTCAACTCCACATAATATATTAGTAACTGAGGAGCTGAATGTAATAAGAGTGCTTATATCAGATGTAACAGCGGGCATGCCTAACACTGATCCGTACTCTACAATAGTACTTCCCTCACTATTGGTCACTCTTACATTAATTCAATATCACAACTGTCATTTGCAACTAAGAACGTTGTAACAATAAATGGCGAATTATCACAGTAAGGGTCCAACATATGAAGCTGGGTATATTGTCATACAAGTAACATAAGCTTTGACCTTTATTCTATTACATCTATTTATAAAAATACATTAGTAGACCGCAAAAAAAAAAAAAACTCTTCAAACAAAAACATTTTTCATCGTACATAAAAGCTCCTTCTACTAAGTTCCTCAATAACTTTCAATTCATTGTGACAGAGGCGGTAGGTTACCTCAAGAACATTGTCACAGACAGTGGCAGCAATAGACTTAGCAGCATGTAGGCTCTCCCCGGCAATGATCGTAAGATTAGTAATAATAGGCTTCGAATTAAAAGTCAGCTCCGTGAGTGCCGTCCTGTATTGCGCCACCAACTCCTGCTGCTGCTGCTGATAAGACGCTCCCCCTCTTCCCACTTCCTCCCTTTCCTCCCTCTCGCTCGCCTTAAATCTCGGGTTGCCTCCGCCGCTGCCGACTGCCGGCCTGGCCTGCGAAAAGGAACGACTCCGATCAGATGTGACGCCGACGGAATGGCCGCGGTCCCGCTCGCTCTCCTCTGCCAGTCTAGGTTTCTTTGCGCCTGGCTCCCTCGAGCGGTCCAAGATAGATCTACGTGTGGCCTCCATCTCCATAAACTGGAGATCGGCTAAACCTAATTATAAATCAAACAGGCAGAGGTAACAAATGAAGAAGCATAGGGGCATGATATCCAGAGATCAATGCGACGAAAGCCGACTACAACAAAGGAAACCCTAATCGCGAACTGCGAGAGGATCTAGGAGGAAGCAGGAGAAGGGTTATGGAGAAATTGGAGTAGAGAGAGTTAAAGAGAAACAGAGAGAGACAGAGAGAGTGGGTTTTGAGAAGTAGCTAAGGTGAAGGAGGAGGAAGATGGAGCCAACGGCGGCTCCTTCGAAACGTAGTTTATATATATATATATATATATATATATATATATATATGTATCATAATAACATTTAATAGTAAGATAAACATTCGAAATAAAAAATAACATAAAATTTTCTTTTAAAAATATCAATATATAATATTTTTATTTTTATTTTTCATTAATTATGAGTGCCGCGTCCTGGTTGAATCTTAATTTGTTTGTGGGTAATACTTAGACCTTCTTATAAAGCTTAATTGGGTGATAGTAGACAGAGAAAAAGAAAAAAGTGTGAGGGAGAAAGAGAGAGATTTTAAGTATTCATAGTATATCCCTTTAATTGCCCTGTAATCCTTTATTTATAGAATTATGAAGCTACATGAAAAGCTACATAAAAAATGCTAATTTGCACAAGTTATGTAGCCCAATATGTAGATAACAACAACATCAAGCCTTTATCTCACTATGTGGGGGGGTTGGCTATATGAATACTTTTTCTCCATTATATCCAATTAAAGGTCAAATTTTTATTTATATATAATAAGAAATTATCATTTATAATATTTTCTAATCATGTCTTTTTAAGTCTACCTCTACCTTTATTAACATAGGTTAAATCTATAACATCTACTCTCCTAATCGGTTCATCCAAAGGCCGACATTTTATGTGACCAAATGATTTAAGGTGACTCTCTCTAATCATATCTACCACTAGAGCTACTCCAACCTTTTCATTTATATGCTCATTTCATATCATGTCTCTAAGAGTAAAGCCATTTATCTCATCTCTGCAACACTTAACATAATGCTTCTCTTTTAATGGCCAACATTCTGTGTCATAAAAGCATCGCATGTCTAACCACCATCTTATAGAATTTTCCCTTAAGTTTGAGTGGTACTTTTCTATCACGCAACAAGCTCGATGCATTCCTCCACTTCATCCATCCAACTTGAATTTTACTGATAATATCCCCATCTATTCACCATCACTCTGAACAATAAACCCAATATATATAAAATGTGTGCTCTTATTAATAACTTGATCGCTCAAAATTATAAATCCCACACTAGAACTATTACTACTAAAATTACACTCCATGTATTAGTTTTAGAGCTACTCTAACGAAAACCTTTAGAATCTAAGGTTGACCTCCATAATTCAAATTTACCTTCAAATCCATCTTTAGTCTTATCAATAAGAAGAATATCGTCAGCAAAAAGCATATACCAGAGAACATCCTTTTGCAAATCGCTAGTAAGAACATCCATGACTAAAGCAAAAAAGATTTGGGCTTAAGATTGTGGACATCCGAAAGGGATCTGCACGAGAGAGTGTAGAGAGTATACGACCATACCACACCGAGGGATAGAAACAATCGCAGGCCTCCACGCTCTTCTCAAGCTGGCCAATGGGAGGGCATATTAGATCATACATATGATCAACCATTGAGGATAGTGGCTCTCGCCAGCGCATCCCTATGGGTGATAATATGCACGACCTGATCAGTGTCATGGGATTTCCCCCACTCGATACATCATCTCGAGTGAGATTTATTTATTATGGAATTTTGTTTCCCACGGGTACAAGCTTCCGTGTGTTGACCTCGTTTTTCTCCCGAATTGCCATTGGACGCGTTTGATTGAATTGATCGAGCCTCGTCGAGCCTGATTCAATTCGAATCAACATTAATTTTAATTTGAGTTTATTTTGTATTATTTTATTGAATTAATTTTTGGGTCGAGTCGAGGTGAGTTCGAGGTGACCCGGATCGAACCAAATCTTTCTCAATTTGGACCTGATTTCTGCCCAATGGGTTTAGCTAAATCCTAATCAAAACATTAATAATTTTCTAAGTCAATTTGAATCTCACCGTTGGATCAAAATTTTGATCGGACGGCTTTGATCTCCCTTATCTCCCTCTCGTGCCCTAACTAAAGGCGGAAGCCTCCATCTCACGCGGTATTCCTGGAGTTCCCAAGGCAAGTCGCTCTCCCCCTGGCTCTCACGCTTGTTGTTCGTGAACCCTAGAGAGGACGGACGCCGCTCTCTCGATTTCGCTCCTTCTCCATCTCTCTCTCTGGGTTCCAGTGAAGAGCCAGAGCCGAAGAGCTCTTTCTCCCGTTTCCCTCTCTGTTCGCTGACGCCCCGAAGCCCCCTCCCTGTTTTTGCCGGTTCGCGAGCCCCAGACGGAGCCAACTCCGCAGCCCCTACTTCCTACTCCCTCTCCATCACCTGGAGATCGAGCCTGACACCTCCAAGCTCATCCGACCTTCAAGGCTGAACCCGACGCCGACCTAGCCGACATCTTCGCTGGACTAGCCCGTCTCTCTTGTCCCAACCGACGCTGCCTCTACTTCTTCTTTAGGGCAGGTAACCTCTTCCCTTCCTTCTATCTCCTTCTATTTGCATTTCCATCTTCTTTGCATTCTCTGTTTGGTAAGAAAATGTGAGCAGGATTGTTCCTATTGCTGAGATAAAAAAATGTTGGTTTGTTTTTGCTGTATTGTTGCAATCAGAGAACCGCTGTTTGAAGCTTTCAATGCATCATAATGTTCATATTTGAGAGGATTTAGTGTGAAAGACTTTGAGTTATATTCATGCTCTTTGCCTCCCCTAGTATATAAATTAAGTAATGCGCTTTTAATGGGATCGTTGGTTTATTGACAGATTCAAGAGATTGAGGTACCACTATTTGATCCGTTCTATTCTTCTGCGGATGATTTCTTTATGAAGGAATTTGATTATTTAGGGTCTTTGGTTCACTTTCACATGTTATGAGGTTGTTTGCATAATATGGTATTCCTATGAGTTCATCTTCTGTAATTTCATAATTCTACACTTTGGTTATTTGATGAAATGCTCTTGAAAGAAGGATAAAACATAGCAGAGCTATCAACATTGAAACTTTATATGGATGCCTAGTCTTTTTTATATATGCTTGGGAAGTTTAGATAATAAATTGTCTTCAATAAATCTTAGGAGCGATTGAACAAAATTCCAAGTTATTCTAATAGTTTGTTTCTTAAATTTTCATATGGCATCATGCTAACACCAGATGATGTTAAAACTTGCATCTCATTTCAATGATTGAGGGAGATTTTATGAACCATAACTATGTTAGAAAGCTTTTGTGCTCATTCGCATTGTCAGTAACAGTTAATATGAGCATTGGGTTCTTTTCTATTTTGTAAGATAAAGGAGGTGTCGAAGCTTTAGCAATGTGCTTATGAGCTAATCACAATGATTCTTTATTTGCTTCTTAAGTTTTATATGAACATAATACTTGGTTGCTTCTTTTCTCTTCCTATCTTGCAAACTTTTGATGAAAGTGAATGGGGAAATTCATTAGCATTGTTTAGTGGAGGCTATACTCATATTTGATGTCAAAGGCTCATGGCTTTGTTGGAAAGTTCATGTGTATGTCCACATCATGAAATCACATGCCTAATCTGGGAATCTATGATTTAGTTGAGTATACACCTACATATACTCCATGTTTCAAATGCCATACTCACATGTTCAAAAGAAGGTTGGGTGACTTATGTTATGTTAGAGAATTCTATAAGTGGTTTCATGATTGGAAAGTTTTGCTAGGTATTTTATATCAAGGAGTTTGGGGTCTTTTGTCGAATCATATTTGATAATTTGTTATGAGTTCGGAGTTTTATTCACAACTTATCAAAGCATCTTTCTACATGCCATTTATCACTTGTTGTTAAAAGATTTGTATAAAAGTTATTTGGATGGTTTGGTATCATATTTTATAAAAGGTGGCTATGGAATGGGTTATGGTTGTTTAATAGTTGTTTCTTAGCTTATGTTCATCAAGATTGCTCTTTGGGTTTTAACACTGTTAAACCTCCTTTTATGACTATCAAGAGTGGCCCGTAATCTCATATGTGTAAAGAAAAAAGAGATATGTTTTGACACTTGGAAGAATGACGGCCTCTAGATTTTTATTGTCTCAATATATTTCCCTATAACAAATCATTCAACTTGTTATTTGATTTTTGGTGTCAAAATGGAGACTTGTTCTTCACTGAGATGAACTCTTTTGTTTGTGAAGCATGTGTATTCGAATTGGTTCTACCCATGTGAAAGAAATAGCCATGCTATGGGTTTTGGAAAGTTATCATATGTATGCTTTATTGGGAAATGCACTGAACATGATTGTAAGATAGTGGCATTATTTATAAACAGTGGCTTTCTATTTCATTAATCATCATTATATTGAGGGTTTTGTTATGTAAAAAATTTGCATTTGAGTTTGCTTGGATGATTTTATGAGAAACACTTAATGAAGACAGTTGTGTACTTCAACGGTTTATAAAGAAAAGCAAAAAAAAAAATGTTCTACGCACAATTCCATGATTAAGTTATTTTGGGCTGGTGGCATATGTTATTGAAATTTGGAAAGTGGTAGGCATTGTATAATGAAATTAATGATTAGGTCGGAGACTATTTGGGCTTCATGAGGTTATAGTGGGTAGCGAGATATTTTCATGCTTTCTCATATCTTAATTTATCTCTGCCGGTTTGAATTTTATGTGAAAGTCGTATCGATGTCTGTATTAGAAAATTTCACGGATGGCTTTGTGCTAGAGAAACTTCATGAGTTGTCTTTAAAAAAAATGTTGTGAGTTGTTTTATATTGAAAATCCTTATGAGTTAATAAAAAAAATTGTATGGTTCATCCCATGTAAAAAAAAAAGTCTATGACTTGTTTCATGTTTGAAAAGCTTATGGGGATTGTTTTATGCTTGAATGAGTCATGGTTTATTCTATGTTTAATGGAAGTTTGATCTGTCTTAAGCCAAGAAAATTTATGGTTAGTTTTATGATTGAAAAGTCTTAGGGAATGATTTATGTGTAAATATATATATATATATATATATATATTTCTTTTTGAAAAATTTGTTGTTTGGAATATTTCTCTGGCATAGTGTGTAGGAAATTTTACGAAAGCTTCGCAAATTGTTTTGCACCGAAAAGTTTTTATGATGTGTTTCACGAATTGTTTTATGTTGAGAAG